GGAGGAGGCTGAGGTCTGGCTTCCTGGTCTGAGGGAGGAGGCCTGCCTCTTGTGAGCCTCCTCTCTGCAGAGGATTGGTGGTGGCAGTCCCTGGGTATGACAGGCTTAGGGGGATCAGGAGAGTCTCAGGGAGATGAGATGAGAGGGAAGACCTGGGGAATGTTGGTGGGGAGGAAATTCTGGGAGAGAAACAGGAAGGACAGGTAGGAGAGCAGCTCCCGGGCTGGAGAGATCCCTCTGTCAGCAGCGTCTGAGGTGTGACTGCCCAGAGTTGTCCAAGGGCAAGTGGCTAGGAGGCCACCTGCCTCTGAGTCACAGGAGACTCCCCTGCCCCTTCGAGAGGCCCCTTCCTCATCTTTGTGGAGCAGGAGCCCACTCACCACCTCCTTCCTCTGGCACCTGGACACGGGTTGCTGACTGGGGGCCGGCCTCTGGGGCTCCCCTTGTCCTGTTACCTGCCACACCCACCCCTTTCTCCCTCCTGTGTGTGGCTCAGGAGATGCTCAGAGCATTTTCACATCCTGCCACCTGATGTAGTGGGCAGCTCCTCTCCTCCTTCTTCCCACCCTTTCTATCTCCCACTTGACAAATGAGAAAACCGAGACCCCCGAAATGGAGAGAAATGATGACCAGGTGGAGGAGAGACCAGGCTCAAGGTCAGACACACTTTCCTGGTCTCCTCCTCAAGGAGCCCAGCCTGGCAGCCTTAGGACTTTGGAGCTTTCTCAGCCCAATTTTTCAGGCTATGAATATGCACATCCATAAAGGAGTCAGCAGAAGAAAGGAGACTCTCAGCATTAACACCACCTGCAGGTTGGCACATGCCCTTCCAGGTTTTATTCCGTGAACATTTCATTTTACATACATTCTACATGGTTAGGATCACATAATTTTTTGTGGTTTTCTGTCGTTTAACATCATATGGTGTAAACATTCTTGCATGACACATTTCTGCCTGAGTATTATTTTTAATAACGTCGTCACATCCTTGGACAACCTGACCCAATGTCTAGACAAGCCATTCCTTTGGAACGTACTCAGTGTTTCCATGATTTTGCCACAATACATAATGTGGTGATGGATTCAAACCTCGTTGATTTTTTTTTTTTAATTTTGGTATTTTCTCCCTAGAATTGGAGCTACTGGGTCAAATGCACTAAGTGAGGTTTTCAATTCATGTGGCCAAACCACCTTCCAGAAAGATTGTACAAATTTACTGCTCCAGCGTTTGAGAGTGTTGGTTTCACTGTGTTTTCCACAGCACGGAGGGTTTTTGTTTTGTTTTCTTACTTCTTTGGGTTTTAGATCCTTGCTATTTTGACAGGTTTATAAACATGGTGCATTGTGGAGGTTTTATTATGTCTTTAAGGAAAGAAAGTCAGATATGACTTTACAGGTCATCCTGAGGGAGGAGGCTGGGCCTCCTTATCTCGGCAAGCTTTCTGTTCAGAGCACGCGGTGATGTATTCACTCTTGGTGTCGCCTTAGCGATGCCTTTTCATGGTCTCTTTTATCCAACTGGTAAACTTGCAGACTTGGGAGTAGACACCTGGGTCATTGGGTTGGCCACAAGGGAAAGTTCCCCAGGACACTATACCTTGCAGGGTACCTTTGCACACCAATGGTCCTCCTGAGTCACCCTGGAGGGAACAAAGGAGGGAAAATGGATTAGCTCTGGATTCAGATCAAAGCCCCCTAGAGTCCTAACTCAGTCTTCCACACCAGCTCTCGGTCTTTGTCTTGCCAGACCATTGGCTTCCACTCTGGCCAATGAGAAGAGACTCATCTCTGTGAACCAATGGGAGAGCAGGAATTAGCACCCTAGCAGAATGGACAGACATTGGTTTGAGCCTGGCCAACGCAGCCAAATCTCAGGAAGCGGATGGGGCTTCCAAGGAGGAAGGCCGTTAATTTTCCCACACAACGTGAACGATAAGGACTTTTCCAAGCCAGTGGGCAGAGGAGCATTTCTCCAGGAGAATGATGTATGACCCCTCCTGCATGAAGTGGGCCAGGAATTCCAGGACAGCAACAGGGGAGCTTTAAACCAAGCACGGGACCCTCTGAGTGTGAGATTCAGGGTCCCTACACACACAGCTTGTGCATTCACGAAGCCAGCCTTCAACAGAGGAGGGAAGGATGCCCACTCTGTCCAGAACATGCTCTTGTCCTTCCTCGTTCCTAATAACACTGTTCCACCTCCCCTGAGAGCTGAAAGAGAGGAGTCATGGGCAAGTGGGGACCAAGCCTGCCCAACACAGAGACAACTAAGAGAAAAAATGAAGTTGGGCATAAAGAGAGAGATGTGGGAAAATGTTCAGAGACAGAGAGTGGTGACAACAGATGAGGAAGAGGGGACAGGATCAGGACAAGGGTCAGGCAAGTGAGGAATTAGCATCAGGCATAAAATCTCAGTAATCACAGTAAATAATGCTTTAAGATAATACTTTCAAGATCAAATGTAAATCAAAAAACTACCACCTGGATGACACAATAGCAAATTTTAAATAATAATAGCATCAGTCCCAGGCTGTGCTGAACCAGGCCGGTGCCTGAAGCAAAAGGACATTCAATAAAACGAATCCACTTTTCATTTAAAATTGTGACACTCTGTTCTTTGTGGGCTTTCTGCATGAATAATATTAAAAATGTGTTGCTTAGAAAATGATTTATCTTAATCACTGAGTTTTTGGTGCCTGAGGCTGCTGAGTGGCCCCATCCATCTTTTTCAGTCCCACTGAACTCTACACATGCCCAGGGTCACAGCAGCCCCTGGGTGGGGTCCTGCCCCTGACCTGGCAGAGAGAGGGGTAGAGAGAGCTGAGGAGGCCAGGCCTGCAGAGACGGCAAGGGCAGGTTCGGAGCTGAGAGGAGGCAGGCAGGGCGGCGGCTGGAGGGGGTGCTCACGTTGCAGGTGTTGGTCTTGGAGTCAGGGACACCAGCACACAGCATGGTTTTCCCCAGGAGGTCCTTGTAAACCTTCTTGCAGTCCTTGGAGGAGATGAGCTGGACATCACTGCACATGAGCGCTGCTGGAAAGGTCACTGCAGGGAAGGGGACAGTGTCAGTCAGAGGCGTGGGTGCCCGGGCTGCTGGTGCTGATGGGGAGAGGATGGGGCCAGAGTACC